GTCAAAATTAAATTATTATTATTATTATTATTATTATTATTATATATGTACTATGTGCAAGACTCTGTGCTAGAAGTGAGATACTGTTTTTGTTGTTGTTCAGTCATTTCATCTGTGTCCTACTCTTTGTGACCTCTTTGGGGGTTCTCTTGGCAAAGATAATGGAATGGTTTGCCATTTCCTTCTCTAGAGTGTCCACATTTTACGTATGAGGAACTGAGGCAAATGGGAGTTGAGTGATTTGCCCAGGGTCATGTAGCTAGCAAGTGTCTGAAGCCAGATTTAAACTCAAATCTTTGTGACTTCAGACCACTACCCTACCTAGCTGCCCCCAGAATCGAGATATACAAAAACAAAAAATAGAAGAGTCCTTGCTTTCCAAAAGCTTACATTCTATTGATATATCCCAATCATGAAATCAGAAGACACAATGAATTATGGCTAAATAGAAGATGGCTTGAAGATTTCCAGGTAAGTAAATAAAGGAGCTAGTGGAATTTGCCTCACTGAATGTCCAAAGGCAAGAAGAAACTACCTTTCAGTGCTTATGATGACAGTAAGCTAGTAGACCATCATGGAAATAATTGCAGTTTATGTTCCAATGTCTGAAGAAAAAAACAAATCAAGAAATTTTATGAGTCAGTCAATAAACATTTATTAAGTCCCTTCTTATGCCAGGCACTGTGCTAAGCGCTGGAGATAAAAATATAAAAAAGAAATAGTCCCTGCCTTCAAGGAGCTTACAATCTAATAAGGGAAGACAATACTCAAAAGGAACCTGAAAAGAGAGGTGGAGTGGGGAAGGTAACTGTGATTCAGGAGCATGATGGAGAAATCTGGAGCGCAGCTGGTGTGAAATGAAGAAATGGCTGGCCTGGGCACCCTGCTGACATGGAAGTTTTGGCAGAGCCAAACTGTGCCCTCCAGTCAGAAGGACGGAGAATACTAATAAGGTGTGAGTACCAAGGCTGAGGTGATCTTGCAGGATGATGAGGTTCTCAGGGGTATGATGGCGAAGTCAACAGTCACAATGAATTCAAAAGGATACTCTAAACTAAATCAACATATACTTTGGTACTCAATGACCTTGATGCAAAAATAAAAATGGAAGAGGGCTATTTAAACTATGTTGGAAAATATAGTTTTGAATTAAGTCAATGAAGCCCATAGCATATATACATTATTTAGAAACCTTGCTCCTGTTCATCATGAATACTTTATTCGGAAAGAAAATCCAACTGAACGTGGCAAGCACCTAATGATATAATTAAAAGTGTGATTGTCTTGACAAGAAACAGGTAAAGAGATAGCAGTTATTACATAAATCAGCTTTCAGTGTGCAGTCATACTGCATGTACTATTTAGAGCAAAAGTCAAAATAAGCCCCAAATTAATAGAAAATACAAAAGTGAAAAGAGGTGAGTGCTTTTGATTATAACAGCTGTTGAAATGAGGTGTCACTTATGGAAAATGGACACAATTAAAGATGTCAACTACGATTTTCATTACTTCTTAGGGAAACTTAACCACAGCCCAAAAGGCCCCCAAAATGAGGCAGAAAGTGCTTTTTAAAAATTCCTTGGCCTCACATACTTAATCACCTTGCCAGAAAGAGAAAGATGGCAGGTAAAACAATACTTACTTATAGTACAAGTTCATTCATAAAACATTAACAGAGGATGAGAGAAGCTGTTCTCATTAGTGGTGGGGATGCCACAATGGAATGCTGTCATCTCAGTACCCCATGTACTCTATAAAGAAGGGGCACATAAGATGATGGAGTCAGGAAGGACAACTGGAGATAACCAAATAAGTCATTATGACAAAGAAATCTGCTAAAGGGAACACAGCACAAGGATTCATTTTCAATTTAACTCAAAGAGGAAAAGGTTTGAAAAGAATGAGAAAACTCATATGGTAATTTAATCGGTAAGTGGTAGCAAAGAAGACAGCGGCAATCCGTGCATTCAAATGTTGTAGTGGATGGAGTGCTAGACTTTTAGTCAGGAAGACCCAAGTTCAAATCCTGCCTCACACACTTACTATCTCTGTGATCCTGGGCAAATCGTTTAACTGATTTCAGCCTCAATTTGCTCATCTACAAAATGGTGATAAGGGCATTTCCTTCACATATAGAACATATAAAAGCCTTTGCAAACCTTAAATATTAGCTATTGTTATTATTATAAAAATTTGTATGGTAATGGTGTGCATAGTCATGGAGGGTTTCTTTGGTGAAAACATGAAAAGCAAACAGTTTTTTATAGTTAAATTTATTTCTGTGTCAAACAGCTCTTTTTTTGGAACAGAACTGACCAAGAGGTATAAAGAATATGAAATCCTGTTGTCTTTTTTTTTTCTAAACTATTGGTCTTATTAAACAAAATGTAACCCTGAACATTGTCTTCAGACAAGATGTCTTCTCTTCATTGCTGTTCAGTTGTGACCCCATTTGGGATTTTCTTGGCAGTGATACTGGAGTGGTTTGCCATTTCTTTCAGCTCATTTTAAGATGAGGAAACTGAAGCAAACAGGGTTAGGTTACTTGCCCAGGGTCACACACCTAGTAAGTGTCTGAGGCCAGATTTGAACTCAGGTCTTTTCTTACTCCAGGCCCAGGGTGCTATCCACTGTACAGGCCAGAGAAAAGAAGGGTTCCCCTTGGTGGATGGCAAAGTTCTCTAAATGTCTCAGATGACATTATACCATTTGAATTGTGCTCTGGGAATTCAAAGCCTTTGCAGTAAGAAGTGTAGAAGAGATTAGATGGTTAAACCATCTATACTCCCAACAAAAAAAAAATTAGACTTGAAACAGAATGTAATTGATTTCAAATCTGACAATGTGCAACAGTGGTTGAAATACTCAAAGCTATTTGATTTTGCCCTAGGTAATTTTGATATATCTACTGAAAAAATATCTGAAAAAAAAAGGCTCCAAAATATCTCAGAAATGGTCAAATGTCATATATGTCACCACACTTTTTATTAGTAAATGACTAACTGAATATGAACCAAGCAGGAATAGTAGATGACGTACTTTAAACAGGAGTTACCATTGGCTCTAAAACACAAACGCATTTTTATTGCTGTCAGTGAGCATTCTTCATGCCCAGTTGTGTATAACTTGATAAGATTACAGAACTGGAGGATTCAGGAAAGGTCCAACTAGTTATTGAACTAATTTTCTTTTTTCCTAAAGTTTCCCATGCCTTCCAGAAGGTAGGGGAAAGACATGAACAAGGCAAGACAGTAATTAATGTAGTTTAAGAGAAAAAATACACTTACGTTGACAAAAAAAAAAAAAGAAAGAAATTTAAACTTTTGGGATTTTTTTTGTTACTCTGTAGATCTCCAAAATGGCAAACATGGCTTGACTTGGGTGTGAGGGCTGGCGAAAGGTGGCAAACATATTTTATAATATATTGATTGTTGATTAAACATTACTGGGTAAGCTGTTTGACTTTTTTTGGCATTCCCCACCACCACCACTGCTCTCTGGCCTTGATTTCTTTATGTATTTCTTTTTTAAAAAGGTATAATAACCTCTGCTGATCCATGTCGCAGGGGTAACTTTTTTTTTTGGTGATTATGTTTGAATACCTGGAAATAACTAATCAGAAAATTGAAACCTTTTGAAAAATTTAAGAATATTATATGACATTTATTTTATTAATGAAATTAATTTTTGTATATTATATCTGAATAATTATGTTTATTTTTGTCAGGCCAAGATTATGTATAGGAATACATAGACCTGAGATAGACTGGATACAACCTCAAATACCCTGATTGAATTTCCAGATTCTTAGGCCAATATTTCCATGTCCTTTAAATATAATGACAACAGACTGAGTCCCTATGGTTTATTCATTTTGATACTTCTACACAGCCATCTTCCCTACTTGGAAATAGATATTCTGGCTTTGTGTTCTTACATCATTACATAAATGTCTCCCAACTCTCCTCTCCAGTGTCTTGCATTAACTCATTTGGTGAAACTAATTAGCTGACTACTGATCACCCTAGATGTGTCATGTGTAGAGCAAAACCTACATCAACTCAAGACACCTGATAACATACTGCTGACAAACATTTGTTACTATAACATAATGGATTGTAAGTTCCATAAGGACAGATAACCATATCTTACCTAAACTTTGTATCTCTCTCAGTACTTAGGACAGTGCTCTGCACACAATATGTTCTAATTAAACGTTTGTTGAATTAAATTTGTTGAATAACATAAAAACATAATCCTCTAACAAAAACAAAAGGAGACATGAGAGGCAGCATTGTAAGAACACTAGATTTAACAGTCAGATGACTTAGGTTCAAAATCTTAGCTCCATCATGTGTTACCTGTGTGACCCTGGAGAAAAATCACTTAAACCAGGCGTGGGGAACACTCGGCCTTGAAACTTCACATGAAGTTTGGATTCAGTCAAAGGGCCGCACTTGAGGGCCTAGAGGGCCACATGTGACCTTCAGACCACAGGTTCTCCACCTCTGATAAACTCTGAACCTCAATGTCATCATCTAAAAATGTGGGAGTCGGACAAAGATCTTATAATGGAGGACTAGTCTCTTCCCTTCCATCACCATTGGGCCAAGGTTATATCTTATTGAGCTTCCTTCCTACATGGCTGTAATCACTAGCATCTTTGTAATCAGTTTTAAAGATGAAAAGCAGAAAGACAGCATCTGCCCTGACTCCTTTGTAAAACTGGTCAGCATCTGGCATCATGATGTCAGTTTCTTCATCTATAAAATGAAGCCTATGATCTGACTTCCCTTTCGGGTGTAAATCTTTGGTCTGGAGAGACAGTCTTCCGACATTTATTAGCTGTGTGATGAAGGGCAAGCCCAGTATCTGTCTCAGTTTCCTCAGCTGTAAAATGGGAGTCATAATAAAACCCACATCCCAGGGCTGTGGTGAGGATCAAATGAAAAGCATTTACCACAGTGGTTGGCACATAACAGATGATTAAAAAACTTCCCTATTTCCTTTCTTCTTTTCTTCTTTCCTCCCTCCACTCTTTTCTTTTTTTTCTTCCTTCCCAGAAACACTTAGAGAAGGATTCAACACAGTTCCTCCTTATCTACTCATTATCACTGTACCCATTGTTTCCTCTTTTCTTTATAATAGTTACTCTTATAGCATCAATTTAATGCTAATAAGCAAACCCAAAACCTCTTAGTACACAAGGAACAACAAAAAAGAGAATTGTATATGGAACTCATCCCCATTAGTTTCCACCTAAACGCCTGTCCATCACATCTAAGTGGCCCTTTCTCAGGCAACCCATGGGCTATGCTCATATTATAACCACATTTTCCTTTTTTCAAAGTGAACAGATTTAATAATCCTTTCCCAAATAACCCCACTCTCTTAAAGCAAGCACCCTGCTGTGTATTAACTTACATTTATCCTGCCTTTACCCCTTTTGTGAACTCCAGAAACAGAAGAACATCACTTATGTCAATTATTCTACTTATGGCAGCCCATTTACAGCATTTAGAACCATTGCAGCAATATTTTCTGTATAATTTTAGCGTCTGTGGGGTATTTGAGCGCCAGCTATAAATTGAGTGTTCCACTTTAACTGCCTGAATATGGGATTTTCATTGAAAAGATCTTTGGTGTTCATTCCTCTTACAAAGACTACTTGCCCTCCCAAGTGACCTGATTGGAAAGGCATTTCTAGAAATGGGATAAACAAAGAAACACTTCTGTGTCTGTAATAGCTTTAGCAGCACCCTTGTCCCTCATGATATTAAAGTATGATACTTTTTAGGAGAGTCATTGGGTCACCTCTCAAACTAAGCCCAAAATCAGCTGTTAACATTAGTTGAACTGTGACCCAACCATCTGCAAAATATGACTCTTGCTTTTCAAGTGTGAAGTCCCAGGGAATTCAGCTGCCTCAAGAGGCTCTTAGTTCTGGCTTTCCTTTGGAATACTTGCCTAGACATATCTTCCTCAGCAGATGCTGCAATAGATCCTTGATGCTGGCAAGTGAGAGCGAACATGTTTCTCAACGGCATTTCATGGGAGGGAACCATTCTTGGCAAGTAATCCTTGTCTTTAAGTCCCATAACGTTGAACTGGTATTCTCCCACCAGAGATAGAATTACAGCTTCTAGAGAAGTTGACGGCATGGAAATGTGAAGCGATGTAGCAAAAAGAGTTCTTCTATGGGAAAATTCAAAAATAAAATCAACACACAGACAAACCCCATAGGCTAATATACAGTAAAAGGTTGGGGACAGGGACTAGATCTGTGATTTCATTGGTGTAAGGAATGGTTCCTATACCATTCCCAGATAAGGGAACTCCCTTTACCAACAAAGCATGTCCATGCCATCTCTGCCGCTTAGAATAAGAGAGATGCCTTAAGGCCCTGAAAAGTGTCTGAGTAAGTCACATGGCCAGCATGTATCAGAAGCCCAGGCTTCCTCTCTCAACATCTGTCTATTGATATCTACTCATTTGAATTCATAGGATCATAGATTTACATCTCTTGTACCCAAAGGTGTTAATTGACTTGCCTAAGGTTCACACAGTTCTTAAATGTCTGAAGTGAGATTCAAATTCAGCCCTTTCTGACTGCAGGTCCAGGGCTCCATCCACTGTGCTACTCTGCTTCCAGAGGTTACCAAATATATTTGGCCTACCACCTCCTTTCAAAAAAAAAAATTACTTAGCACCCACCCCGTAAATCTACTTTCTTTAACCCTTTAATTTTTTTTTTAATTTGCATCATTTCAAAAAAATACTGCCCCCCAGGATTGGTCTAGCATCCCCCAGGGGGCTGTATTGCCTATTTTGGGAACTTATATAACGACAGATCGTGTAAATTGGAATTTGTGACATTGATCAGGGAGTAAGCTTCCCAGAAGCTTAACTTTGCATTATCTGGGGAAAGAAAGAAAAAGAGGCTGTTTGCTGTGTAAATTAATAGTGTAAACAATTTATAGATGGAATAAATTATTTAAATTACTTGATCAAATTTCATAACCACTTTAGAAATCTTGATTCTATCGCTACTTAGATATATGTTATAAAAACCCTTTAACTTCATCTGTAAAATTGGAGTTTGAACTCAGTAATCAATAAAATTCCTTCCAACTCTAACATTCTGTGAGATGTCCATCTATTTTACATATTTGCCATTTAAATTATAATTATAAATTCTGATACGTTCATAAAGCTGATACCCTAAACATTTATATGAAACCAGACTTTGTTAACCTAGTTTTGGTTTCTGCATATGTCTGAAAGTAATAAAACTTATTACTGTGTCAGCTAGATGGATAGAGTGCTGGGCCTGGAGTCAGAAGACCTGAGTTTATGTCTAGCCTCAGAAATTTACTAGCTATGTGACCCTGGGCAAGTCATTTAACCTCTATTTACTTTAATCCACTGGAGAAGGAAATGGCAAACCATGCCAGTATCCTTGCCAAGGAAACCCAATGGACAGTACTGATGTGCTATGATCCATGGGGTCACAAAGAGTCAGACATAAATGAACAACTTAAAAGCAACAACAGATAAAACCATATTTCTTTAATATCATGCTCTAGAGATTTTTCACTAGTCAATAATTCTGTTCCTTGAAGCTGAGTTCAAATTCAGGCTCTGACACTTACTAGCTGTGTGATTATGGACAAATCATTTAACATCTCTCAGCTTTCATTTCCGCATCTGTAAAATGGAAGAATAGAGGAGTTGATAATAATAGCACAGCATAAAATGAGATAATATTTATAAATCACTTTCTAGACCTTAAAGTGTCACATAAATGCTAGCTACCATTATTGTTACTGTCATCAGTGAGGCTTTATTGTAGGTAGAAATGAGGAAAGCAACAGGACACTGGGGATAATGTTGTAATTGGTGTTAGATCCCATCACATTAGATGTTTGTAAAGTGCTTATCACAGTGCCAGCATGTAGTAGGCATCTAATAAATACTTGTTCTCATCTCTGTCTCACTAATTATATAATCTTGGACAAAGTACTTACCCTTCCTTTCTGAACCTCACTTTTCTCATCTTTAAAATGAGGGTTATTGTGTAAAGCTCAAAGGAGATAATGACCATGGTCCATAAAGATCTAGAGCTAAAAGAGATCTTTGAGTCTAGTCCATGTACAGATAAGGAAATTGAGGCCCAGGGAGGTCAAGGGTCAAGTTCATGTCAGAGATAGGATTTGAACCCCAGTCCTTTGACTGGGCCAGTCACTTTGAGGCAGTACTCTCCACTGTACCATGCAGTCTGTTATTAATGTATGGAAAACAGTTTGCAAATTTAAAGTTCTATATAAATATGAGCTGTTGTTTCATCATCGTCATTCTTCTTATTATCAGAGATTATTTTATTCTTTATACAAAGTAAATAAAGAAATAGGCCTTGACCTCCCCATTCCTCCAGGTACCGGTATGTCATTTTCATTATTCAGGTGTTTTTAATCAAACGCCAAGACCTTTGCACATTTCATTGCCTTTTCAATTCTCATATTTTAAAAAATCCTATCTAAGTACTGTCACACTTGAGAGGATGATTTCTTTCAAACTGCCAGGGTGATGTATTGAGTCATTCTCTCAAAGATGGGTTTCCTTTGGCAAGGGGGCTCCAGCATCCTAGATTCCTGCTTAATCACCAAAAGACTATCTATACCATGACTGAATTCTGTCATCCTCCTCCCCCAGTGAAGTATGACTAGGGGTCTCCTCATCTTCTCAACTGATTAAAAGTATCTTCCACTCATTCGCTTGACTTGTCCAAAAGAAAAAGGCCGTGTTTGCTGTGGACTGTGTAATCAGGTTTGAAATCTGTTCTTTAATCCACATTGGGAATGTCCATTCCCCAACACACACACACACACACACACACACACACACACACACACACGTGTTGCTTTTTGTTTTGTAGAGGGAAATATGTGACCTGAGAAAGCTGACAGGGAAAATTAACCTTAAAGAACCAGAAAAGTGAGAGGAGAAGAGCTTTTTAGTTAAAATCTGTCAGCTTAAGAAAAGTGATTTTCAAACCTTGAGGTTAGCTGACGTTATCCACCAAGATAGAGGTCTCATCATGTGCTTTACTCTTGGCAGAAGACTGGACTTTCCCAGGTTGCACATGTGTTTGTATTCATAGGTGCTTGCTAGGAATACAGAAGGATAAGCAAGGAAACATGGTGGCCTTGTTTCCTATATAGTAAGGCAAAAAAGCCCCTTTTCACTAACGTTGAAACTGACCTTTGACACAGATACTGGTCTTGATAAGGCAAGCATGTTAAAATGAGAAGTACTGATAAAAATATTTTGGTCACCTAAAACCTGGCTGCTTGGTATAGAGAGGGTGTTCTGTAGTTTAACGACTGATAATATCGTCTGCAGTATGTGTACACAGACCTTTGACTCACCCTGAATAATTTGATTCTTCAGAAGACAGCAACAATACTTGTCAAATGAGCAGATTAGATTAGATGGTCCCTAATGTCTCTTCTACCTCTTAAGTCTGTAGCTGTTCAGTGTCAAGGTTGGCTGCAAATTTAGACACAAATGGGGAAATGTAACCTTATCATGAACCAGTAAATCTAACACTTAAAAACCCTGTTACTTCATTTGTCTCCTTTTTTCCTATTAAATCAATCAGTAATTGCTTGTCTGGGGTCATAGGATAATAGGTATAGAGCTGGGGGTGGAACTTAGAGGTCACATAATCCAATCCCTGCATTTTACAGATAAGGAAACAGAACCAGAGAAGTCTTGACCAAGATCATGCTGTGATTATGAATCGGCAGGGCTGAAATGCATACTGTAGCCCTTCATCTCCTGCCCTATTTCTGTTATACCCTTTACAGCCGTACATATAGGATGGACACAAGGAGGGCTTTTTTAACCAAAATAAGGGTTAGGGCCTAAGAAAGGAGAGTCGGTGAACATTTTGTGGAATATGATTGAATTGCTCTGGGACCCTTTTGATCCAAATTCTCTGTGTGTGGTATCCTCTGCTACTGGCCAGGATTTTAATAGAGCCTTCTCAGTTTACTCATCTTCTCTGGAGGAAAAGGTGGGTTTAACCTGGCTGTCTGGCTCTCTAGAGTTTTCCTTCTACTTAGCTCTCCTAGAGCTGTTTGGGTATCTTTCTGTTAGGCTTAACATTTCCCAACAGCAAAGTATGCTGGGGGAAATCCATCTAGATTATCAGGTTGGCACTTCTAGTTGCCTTTTAATGCCCTAGGCAGCCCTTCAACCAGATATTCTATAGTCAGGTAAAGTAACATAGCTTTTCAGTGTTAATTTGTTAACATATATATAGAACTTCGTGTGTGCCAGGTACTGTGCAGCCCTTTATGATTTTTATCTCATTTGAACCTCACAACAATCCTGAGAGGCAGAGACTGTCATTCCCATTTTACAGGAGAGGAAATTGAGACAAAGAGAAGTTAAGTGACTTGCCCAGAGTCACATAGCTAGTAAGAAGAGTCTGAGGGCAGATTTGAACCCAGGTTTCCCTGATGCCAGGTTGGGTACTCTATACCCTGTGCCACCTAGCTGCCCTAACTGAAGTACTTTAATTTTGTTTTTTTACCTCAATCCTGTTGTTTAAAAAAAGCAAAACTCAAATCACTTTGCAAATATGAGTGTCCATCAATTTGAAGGCCACTTAAATTGGCAGTACAGGTGTTCACCTCTCAGTTGGTAATTAAAGGATGAGCAATATGGGTGAGAAGTTATATTGAGCATTGAAGAAGATATGGCTTCAGACTTCCCTGATTATGTTTTAGTTTGAGGGCATCAAGGGGAAGAGAGGTATGTCTCTTGACATGTCTGTCTAGGCAGGATTCATTTCCCCAAATCAGTTTGACCCATTTCTTCTTATGGCCCTACTCCTAGACCATCCCTCAAAAGAAAAGTAAAAGTAAAATCAGACCTCCTTACAGAGGAGGACTCAGAGGCTTCCTTGGTGGAAATTTACAAATGATTTGCCTAAGGAAAATTTATGAATAATCGACAGATTTGATGAGCAGAAAGCTTTCATCTGGGCAACAGCCATCTGGTTAAATAATCTTTAAAGGAAATGCTTGCTAGGCTGGGTCACCTGCCTTTTATTCTTAATGACCATCCTCTTAACTAAATGATTTCCCTTTAGACTTTTGTCTCTGCCTTCCCTTTTTCTTCTTAAAGAATGACTTGTGTGGGGGAATAGAAGGATCATTTTCCTGAGGTTGGTTTGTTCTTTTGAATAAGAGAGATCAATTGGAAAATAATAAAAGAGATGTATTGAAAAAAATCAGAAGCAAAAAAGGAAGGGGAGGGGGGCATTTTCCTCTTTTGCAAAAGGCTATCAGAGCTATCTGAAGACATTTTACTAACCAGTGGACTGCTTAGGAGAATTTGAAAGAAACTTGACTCCACCAGAAATCAGAGTAGTGCTCTCAGGATAGACTCTTTTTGTTGTTCAGTCTTTTTTCAACTGTGTCCAACTCTTCTTGACCCCATTTGGGGTTTACTTGGCAAAGATACTGGGAGTGGGTTGCCATTTCCTTCTCCAGTTCATTAAGTGTCTGGGGTAAGATTTGAACTGAGGAAGATGAATCTTCCTGACACGAGGCTTGGCACTCTATCCCTTCTGAGCCACCAGCTCATTTTACAAATGAGGAAACTGAGGCAAACAGGGTTAAATGACTTGCCCAGCATTATACAGCTAATAAATGTCTGAGGCCATATTTGAACTCAGGTCTTCCTGACTCCAGGCCCAGCGGTCAATCCACCGAGCTGCCCTATATAGCTCTTTATACCCACCCTAAGCCATTTCTTGACTTAGAAATACAAGTTGTTTTGTTTCTGTTTTAAGATTTTTGCAAAGCACTTTATGAATATCTCATTTTATCCTCATAACAACCCTAGAAAGTAAGTGCTATTAATATCCCCATTTTCCAGATCAGGATACTGAAGGGCAATATGCAAAATGAAGCCAAAAGGGAAGAGGAGGCAGGTGGGAAGATATTCAACACAGGCGTGATGAAGAAGGCCCAGAGTAGGGCAGCCAGATGAGAAATGAGGTGTTTGAGCTGAACTCCCCCTTAAATGGAGGTTTTGGAGCACCCTCCAATCACACAGGCAAAAGTAGTGGACCAAGGCTGATGGGATCCAGCTTTTCTCAATAGTGAACATGGTGGAGAAGTCCCAGTAACTGAAGTTCTGGTTACGAGGGGTAAGGATGGGAGAAATTCAGATACTTGCTGACTGGTTGGATCTAACTATCCTATGCATTTCTTGAGCAGAAGGCAAATGGTTTTACATAATGTTCTTTTAATATTGCAGTCAAGGAGAAAGGCAAGTCTTTGCAGTTTTTAATGTTCAAATAGTTTCCTTCATTCCAATACTAATATTATCCTCATATTCATAGTTCTGCAAGCATGCTACAGTAGAAGGAAGACCAGATTTGAAGTCAGAAGATTGGGCTTCAGATCTTGGCTCTCCCCTACTCCCAATGTGGCCTTGAGCAAGTAACTTAATCTCTTTGGGTCTCAGTTTCTTCATCTGTAAAATAAGTAGGTTGGACTCAGTGGCCTTCTTAGATCTTAGGTCCCTCGCAACTCTAAATCTTTATGATTCTCTGATCATAGAAGAATGCACTTAAAATGTTAAAAAAAAAACAAAACAAAGTACCCAAGTCCCCAGGGAAAGGATTTAACTTTCTCTCATGTCTCCTAATTAACTTCTAGTTTTTAAATTATTCCAGGAATCCTTTGTTGTTCATTATTCTTTATCTGGTCCTGCATCCAGCCGTTCCCTGTAAAGACTCTTCTTTCCTGTGGGGTTTCATGTGGTATGGAATTTCACTGTCGTACAGACCTAAATTTTGATACCTTTCTTTCCCTTTGTAGCTTGTGACTGTGACCCCAGAGGGATCGAGACAAGTCAGTGTGACCAATCCACAGGCCAGTGTGTTTGCATTGAGGGTGTGGAGGGGGCACGCTGCGACAAGTGCACCCGTGGGTATTCGGGCGTCTTCCCTGATTGCACTCCCTGCCACCAGTGCTTTGCATTGTGGGATGTCATCATCTCTGAGCTGACCAACAGGACCCACAAATTCCTGGAGAAAGCAAAGGCTTTGAAGATCAGTGGTGTGATTGGGCCTTACCGAGAGACAGTTGATTCTGTGGAAAGGAAAGTCAATGAAATAAAGAGTATACTTGCCCAAAGCCCAGCTGCAGAGCCCCTGAAGAACATTGGAAACCTCTTTGAGGAGGCAGAGTGAGTAGTTTATGAGTGGTGGGAACAGTTCATACCATTACTTCAATCTTAAAGACCAAAAATTTGCCAGGGTATTCCTTACCTTTTTTCTTTTTTTAAAGAATCACAGTTTTAATAGATGCCATTCTGTTAAATACATATTGTCTCCAAAGTACAGGAGTAAAAAGTTTTTAAAAATGGACTGACCTAGTAGAAGAGAACCAAATCATGTGGGAATGGGATAAAGTACATATTATCTCCATCATCCTGTCTGCTAACCCAAGATATTTTCAGATGAGATGACAACCTAAGATTTTTATTTAAATATTTAGATATTTATTTAAGCATCTACCATTTTTCCACCTGCTCAAAAGTCCACTGACCATTAAGTATAAAGGAAGAGGATGAGTGCTGTATCCTAGGGCCATTTCTATCTGTACTCCTAAACAACCATAAAGATTGAAATAATTCATCAATCAGTGAACAAGCATTTATTAAGTATTCATATGCCAGGTAATGGACAGTTCGTATTTATACAGAGCTTTTAAAATTTTTTTAATGTTTTTTGCGGATCTCATTTGAGCCTTACAATAACCTCATTTCCTTATCTATAAATTAAGTATATTGGACTCAGTGGCCTTCTTAGGTCCCTCCTATCTCTAAATCTTTATGATTCTCTGATCATAGAAGAATGCATTTATGAATTTTAAAAACCAAATACCCAAGTCCCTGGGGTAAGGATTCAACTTTATCTCATGTCTCTAAAAAGTTGTGCCAATTAACTTTTGGTGTTTAAATTATTACAGGCTGGATGCTATCATTATCTCCATTTTATATGTGAGGAAACTGAAGCTCACAGAGATTATGACTGCCCAAGATCACTTAGTTAAGGTAGTCTTCCCGACTTCAGGTGCTATACTCCATCCATCACACCAATCTGTCTCTTAGGTGATTAGCCTATGTGTACCGGCCAAGAAGTACAGAGATAGTTAAATGAAAATGACATCTTTTATTACTCATATGGCCACAGGCTTTACTCTGGATCCATAGGCAAAATACAGTTGATAGAACTGTGTAAAGCTGGAGCCTCATTATAAAATTCATCTCACCAAGAAAGTAAAACTGATTTATTAAAACCAAGTCTTTTTTATCCTGTTACAACTAAATCCCTAATTCTTCCCTGTAGTAATGTTAAGGCCCAAATATTTGTGTAACTGGTTTATTATCATTTCACTTCACATTCTTTCTTGGGTTCTTTGTGACCAGGCCATTTTCATGACCCAGTGAATGAGTGTCCCAAAGGAATAGTGCTATGTTAATTTGGTTACAACAAATACTGTACAAAAAAAATTCACGTGCAACACATGCTTTCTCCAGCCTCTGCCTGGGTATTTGTCTCTCTGATCATAGTGAATATATTCATAGGAACAAAGTGGAGAGAAAAGTTAAACTGAGTTATGTTGAGTATTGGCAGTGATGTTTTTCTTGCCATTAATTAAAAATTTTCACTTCTCCATAAACATCTCAACCACTGTCCCACGGAGATTTCTCCTAAAATCTTCTATAATTAACTATAAAAACACTTTAAAAAGCAAAGAAAACAAACAGAAAGTCCTTGAGCAAAGAGAAAATTGGGGGAAGATAAGGTAGATGTATGATACATCCTTCCCTTTCCATTTGGAGTTAAAGCATCTTATTTTCCTTGGCTAATTCACTACCAAGAGGTCAGTCTTCAGAACCATTCCATATCTGGATCATTATGACAAAATAATATCTCAGTAAAACCAAGTTGGATTTATGGGGAGTATATTATAATGGGATCTTACAATACCAGGGTCTCCAAGAAACTAGATGGGGATTTGTGCTTCCCGTCTGAGTCAGACAAAATTATCTCCAAGGCTCATTCCAACTCTGCTGTGCTTTGATTCTGTAACCTTTCATTCATCTTCATACAATGTCTATAAAGGAAAAAGGGAGTAAATTAAATATCTGTTTAATAAGAGAAGAAACTGAGGCACAAAGTGAACAAATGACATGTTAAAATATCATATGACATGCCAGAGACCCAGGAATAGAGCAGTGATCTCCCAGTTAATTGCCAGTTTAGAATTCTGTCCAAGGGGCCAATCAAGGGAATCATCAGATATTCTGTGTGTATTCTTAATGCATTTAACAGAGAAATTTACTTGAATGTGGCTCCTAAAGTGGGTTTTACCCTTTGGAACATAATAGTGAGAAGTTTTTCGAAAAGCAGCATTCCCATTGCCAGCCCATGAACTCAAAGATTCTTCAGTGATTTCTAATTTTCCTTTGGGAAAGAACAAAATCTGTTGTTCTTTGAGAGGATGCCAGGAGGTCTGTTACCAGACTACATTTTTCTAACAGCTATAATTCTACATGCTGTATTTGCCTAATTACTTATGGTCTGATCTTCTCAAGGAAAAAAAAAATTGCAGTGATGTGCTTCAATGCTAGACTGCCAAAGATGTATCTTTTGGGCACTAAGGCTAATTTTTCATTTAAAAATAATTAGTTCTCACAAAAACATGCTGCAAAGACTCATGAGGCCCCAAAAGGAATATATAAGCAGGCTTTTGGTAAAGGTAGCTTTCTGAATATATGTGCATACATACACACAGATAGATACATAGCTACCCTAGGCCTGGCCATTCCATTTCAAATTAAAATAACACATTGGGTTGTTGTTGTTTTGTTTTGTTTTTTTTTTAAGGAAGGATCTTGGTATTGTAATCTTTTCATCATCCTTTTTGCCATCCATATCTCAATATCTGAGAACACTACATTCTTTTCTATGTAAAGTCTCAGCATTCTTCTCTAAAAGGGCTATTTGTTTGGGGAGGAACAAAAGAAGTTATATGGGGCCCTGTTTGAAGGGAGGGAAAAAAAGGCCAGTCTTACTGGCACTTGCTGGTCTTCCTGGAGGTGGGATGTGTGGCTTCCTCCCCACATGCTCCATCTTGAAAGCACTGTTGGCAGAAAGGAGATCTCAGGGAGCTCTGAGAAGAATTTTTTTGGGGTGGGGGTAAGAGTCAACAATGGAGCCTATTATGTCCCTTGAGTTTGCAGCAATAAAAAAAAAATGCATTTGTAATTATGTGGGATGTGAAACAAATTATGTATGGTATTGGGTATTCCACACTCTGCCCTATGCTGTTGCTATGGTTTGAGAGTATGACAGTAGTATTTTGGAATTTGTCTTAAATAGTTAATCTTCCAGAAGGCAGCTGGGTGGATCTTTTTGTTTTGCTTTGTTTTTTCTTCAAAGAAATGGCATTTTTTTCTTGGAAGAAAATAAAACCATTGAAAGATTAAAACATAATCCTATATGATACCAAGGCAGGGTGGTATAGGGAGAGAGCCAGCCTCAGAATCTGGGATTGTTGGACAATATTTAGGGCTAGAAGGGAACGTGGACACCATGAAGTCCAACTCTCTCATTTTACAGATGAAGAAACTGAGGCACAGAGCGGTTAAGTGACTTACCTAAGGTCTTACCAATAGTAAGCATCAGATGTAGGATTTTAACTGAATTCTAACTCCCAAGTCTAGCACTCATCCAACTGTGCTATCTAGCTTCCTGACTTTTAAGTCCTGTTTCTGACCCACACTGGTTGTATGACTCAAAGCAAGTCCCTTAACCTATTAGTGTCCCCAGGCAATTCTCTAAAATGGTAAATATCACGGGGCAGCTTGGTGGCACAGTAGATAGAGTACTGGACCCGGACTCAGGAGGACCTGAGTTCAAATCCGACCTTAGACACAAAACACTCTCTAGCTGTGTGACCCTGGGCAAGTCACTTAACCCCATTGCCTAGCAATAAAACACACACACACACACACATACACACACACAAATAAAATTATAAATAGCAGAATAAGTTTGATCTTTGCATGTAAAGGAAGCTAGTCCTCACCAGAATTCCTTAGAGCAGAGGTGACAAAGACACCATCTACAACACTCACAAAAGAGGCCCAAACCAGATTAAGATGTAATTGGAAAATATTTAACAAAATAAATAAAGATACTATAAAATATAGATATAATTAATATGTGGTTTTCTAAGTCAGTATGTGGCCTGTAGAATACCTATGTATGGTTTAGTGGTCCTTGCTTCTATATGATTTTGACATCACTGCCTTAGATAAATGAAATTATAGACCTAGTCCAGAAACTAGAGAGAGAGAATATAAAACTGCTATTTACAGGAAGGAGACATTGTTTGCTGAGTTGGTTTTAATCCCTATCAAGTTGAAAGAGCGTCATCCCTAGGAAATACTAAAATGGTCATCAGAATTTTGGCAGGGCCATGATTACTCATCAGTGTGTATACCCTCTCTCCCAATGCAGACCACAGCCCCTGCTCATCCTGCATGACTCTTGGCCATGTTTTCTAAAAAAAAAAAAAAGCCTCCACTAAGAGAATCTACCACAAAAAAAATCAAATTACATCTATTTTGCTTGAGCAGACTTACCCTTCTGTCCACAGGAAGCTAACCAAAGATGTTACAGAAAAAATGTCGGAGGTTGAAGTGAAGTTATCTGACACGGCCTCACAAAGTAACAACACAGTTGGAGAGCTGGATTCCCTGCAGATGGATGCACAGAGCTTGGACAAAACAGTGAAAGAACTTGCTGAACAACTGGAGTTTATCAAAAACTCAGATATTCGGGGTAAGCATATGGTTTGTGGGGTATCAGGAAATTGTTATAAAGAATAATCCAGCTCAGAGAATTTGTTTAAATACCAAACTAATCTTTCTTTTCAGTGACTCACCTCCCCACCCCCCACCATAAAGAGCTTTCTGTTTTCTTAGCTCTTCTCATCAAGTTTATGGTTTAGATGAGGATGACAAATTCCATACGCCAAATGTGGGAACTGGGGCCCAGCAAGTCCAAATGATTTCTGAGGTCTCACAATGACTAAGTAGTGGCATAACTTCTGCAGTAAAACTTGCGTTTCCTGTTTTTCTGGTGAGTGGTTTTAGCTCACCCCTTAGCCCCCTCCCCCAGCTTCTCTTGGGTAGGTATCCTCTTGGATAGCTTTGGAATTAAGTTGATACTTCTACAAGTCACTTTAAATTTAAGATGTTGCTTAGTCAGGAATTTTTTTTTCCCCCAAATCCTTACCTTATTGACTTTTCAGGCCAGTTAAAGGAGCCAAAAACAGCAAAAGAAATCCCAGACTATGTTATATCACATTACCCATCACTGTTGAGTACACAATCAGCCTCTACAAATGTTAACTTTGGCCCTGTCTACCCTACGGCAGAACATCTGGATGAAAAGTGAAACGTTAAGTCAACCACCCGGATGTTTTATCTACATAATGCCAGTTCTCCAGATGCTTCCAAATGTTCAGTGTCTGGCATCATATAATAAAACTATTCCAGATAACTGACTTAATTTTTCACTTTTTATTCAGATGTTCATCATCATGTGAACCCAGCTTGAGAATTGTTTGGGGCAGGGATAGAATGGGATGAAAAAATAAATTATATTTGGGAAAGGGAAATTACATGGTCCTGTTTGCTCCTTGGGATTTTTTTTCTCTTCCTTTTTTTTTTTTGTGAGGCAATTGGGGTTAATTGACTTACCCGAGGTCACACAGCTACTAAGTGTTATGTGTCAGAGGTCAAATTTTAACTCGGGTCCTCCTAATTCCAGGACTGGTGCACTGTGCCGCCTAGCTGCCCTTTCTCTTCTTTTTTCAAATAGAATTTCATTTCTTTATAAGAAGTGTAGAGCAGGATAGTAAAAAAAATTATCTATTTGTTAGTAGAAGGGGAGTGGAAATCAGCATTAACTTTGAGTGTTTTCATCTAATATTGTAGGAGCCTTGGACAGTATTACCAAATACTTTCAGATGTCTCTTGAGGCAGAGGAAAGAGTGAATGCCTCCACCATTGATACCAATAGCACCGTAGAACAGTCAGCCCTTACTCGAAACAAAGTTGAAGACTTAATGATGGAAAGAGAGGCCCAGTTCAAGGAAAAACAGGAGGAACAATCCCGCCTTCTAGATGAGCTTGCGGGCAGATTACAGGGTTTGGATCTTTCTGCTGTAGCTGAACAGGTAAGCTTTGGCGGTTTGGATTTCATGGCTGTGGTGCTTAAGAAGAGGAATTCACATCAAGTCCACAGACAAGCGCCTCCTTGTGCCATGTTGTACTAGGTACTAGGGATAAGAAGATACAAAGAAGCTATATTCAATATGGCACCTTTCATGAATGAATGAGAGGCCTTGAATAAATTAGCTCCTAAATCGTTATAGCAACCACAAGGTAAACAGAGTAAAATCCCCTTCCTCACCTCCCTCCCCCACCCCACAGCATGAGGTGCTTAAGTGCCTTGGCCAGGGTCCCCTATGTCCATAACAAAGGGAGATGAAGGAACCAGGATTCTTACTTTCAGCCTCCTTTTTCTTCTAAACTAACCGCAATCACCCTCATGCTTCTTCTCTGAGGTATAATTCTCATTCCCTTGTTCTTATCGACTAATGACTGACTTTGGATTTAGATTCGATCCATTTTATTCATCAGCTTTTTCCATAGATATTGTTCACCAAGTAGTACAAGCCATCCAAAGGGAGGAAGTCTTTTCATTGCCAAAGGTGGTTCCCAAGAGAATTATAAAGGGATAGTTTTTCCTTCAGTGGTTCATTAACATGTTCTTTTCCAGGCAGTAATTTTACCTGGGTGACTATCTCATTTTAAATCTAAGAGCAGCCTGGAAAATTATCATATTCTCAGAACCTAAACAATATTATGTGCTTGAGGGCAGCTATGGAATGAGACTCTTGAAAATCGGGTAGCAGGCCTAAGAGCTCATACAAACCTTACTTCAGCATAACAGCACAAGCCACTGGAAGGTAAATGGACCCAAGTAAAAAAAAAATAATGGTTTTGCCTAGGGATAGACATATAAGTACAGATGAGATAGAAGATGAAATCCTCAAAAGATATATCCCTTTATCAAGTGCCTGTTTTGTGACAGCTGAGATAAAGATAAAAATGAAATAAGCAGTTTACATTGTTGGAAGAAGCAAACATGCATATACATGTGTATAAAAAAACTGTCGAATTTTGATGAGGAAAACATTAGCATCTGGGGACTCAGAAGAGGCTCCCTGTGGAAGGTGGTGTTGGAGCCAAGTTCTGAAGGAAGCTGGGGATTTTTAATAGATGGAGGTGAGGAAGGAATTCGTGTGAGAAATAGCAAGAATGGCTGTTGGGCCAGGTCATGGAGTATATAAAAGAGGGTAATGTGTGATCAGCCTGGAAAGGTCAGCTGGAGGCAGAAAGATTGTAAAGACTCTTAAAGCGGAGGAGTTTGCATTGCATCCTGGAGGTCATTAGTAGGGAGCCATTAAAGTCTATTGATCAGGGTCAGACCAGTGCTTTAGGAAGATTACTTTGGTAGCTGTGTGGAGGAGGAATGGGAGTGCTTAGAGACTTGAAGTGTGGAGACCAAATAGAGGGCTATTGCAGTAATCTAGGCAAGAAGTGATGAGAACTTCAACTACAGTAATTTGTTAGGAATAGACAGAACAGTACCAGTGTGAAAGAGAACGGCAGCAGAATCGACAAGATCTGGCAAGTGATTGGAAAAATGGGGTTAGGGGTAACATGTATGGTGGATAGCCTGCTAGATTTGGAGTCAGAAAGACTTGGGTTCAAATTCCAACACATTCACTCACTACCTTAGTGACCTCGAGGTCCTATCTGGACCTCAATTTGCTTATCTACAAAATGAGTCTGGACTGGCTGGCCTCTGAGATCCCTTCCAACCCTAGCCCTATGATCTTATGAGGTTCCTACCAGCTTTTAATCTATGATTTTGTGATCCAGAAGAGAGTAAACTGTCAAGGGTGACTCCTATGCTGAGAACATGGATGAGTGGAATGATGATAATGCCCTTGACAGAGATAGAGACATTAATAAGAAGGATGAGTTTGGGAAGAAAGGTAATGAGTTCTTTGGGGCATGTTGGGATACAGTACATCTAGTATGTGTAGAGCACTGTGCTAGGCACTGAGGATGCAAAGATGAAAATGAAAGCTCTCGTTCTGGTTTTTCCCCCCTGAGGATGTCCCCAAGCTCTACAAACATTAGTGCAACATCCAAGCGAAATAGACATCCTCGTTTCATAGACAGGAAAATTAAGACCTAGAGTATTTCTGTGAAAATTGCTGAACCCAATAGACTGGTTATGTTGTTCTATACTGCAACTGAATATCAGCTCCCTGTTTCCAGCATCTTTGTTGACATTTCAGTATTCAGGAAGAAGCTCCCTACGTCACTAGAATATGTTAAGGATAGGGACTGGACCTGTAACTTCACCTGTACAGGGAATTACTAGGTGGAAACTCCAAGCAACATAGATCCTTTGCATCACAGAGCTTCAGAGAGCTGACTAGAGTATTGAGAGAGGAAAACAATGTGCACAGGTTTACAGTAGATCTGTGTCAGAGGCAAAGTCTGACTTTGAGGCTGGCTCTCTACTGACTGTGCCATAACATGTTTAAAAGGAAAAAAGTCTGCTGATTAAAGTCATGAAGAGCTACAAAACATTTGGGGAATTTTTATTTTGACATGTATCATACAAGGTCTCTGGCTCTAGACTATATGTTATTTTCTGCTGCCTTTCCAATCTAGAAAGTGACGATGGAAACACCAGTGAGTGTTATCTCTACTTTAAAACTCCTTATGGGGTGTGACATTCCCCACTTAGAAATCTGGATTCCTAGGGCCTCTCATGGAACTCGGGAATATGTGTTCCTCTTGGTTTTCCAGGTACACCCTGTCCTTTATCTCTGCATATATTTAGCTAGAGCAGAGCCGTTCTGTTACTTTTTCTCCCCCTTACCCTTGTCTCACAGGGTCTCTTGAAACAAAACAGACCTCCTGGGTGAGCTCTTCAGCTGTCAGGCTGTTTTCCAATAAAGGATCCTGGTGCCCCTTTGCTCCTCCTGAATAAAGCTAATGTTTTGTGTAGTGTCCGGAATTGTACTACTCAAGCATTTCATGTGAAAAAAACCAAATGTATTTTAAGGCCATTTGTTCAGCTTGAATACAGGAAATAAAATATGCTTAGAAATTTCTCAAATTTAATTGATTGGAATGAAGAAAGAATAGTTCAATGGAGAAAGAAGAGTTCTGCATGCTTTTTTTTTGACGGAAATAGAATCTTCTATTACCTGTTTTCTATCATCTTCTTTTCAGTGTTTCCCATCTATCATCACTTTCTCTTTTCCTACTACTTATCCCCTCTACTCCTAATCCCCAAAAGAGTGAGCCCATATTATCTTTCAGAATCACACTTATATTAATAAAGTGGCTTAAGAAAGGTGATAGCACTAGAATAGTGCTTTCTCAATACATTCATTGCTGAATAGGAGTGGCAGTCAAGGTGAGCCTCATGGTCACTGCCCTTGATGGTGGCTGATATAGATGGGGGTAGGAATAAAAGCAGTCCTTTGAAAATAACATATTTGACTATATAGTGCTGTGGAAAGAGGACTGGCTTAGAATCCCAATTCTGTCACTATTTCTGTGACAATGG